CCGGTAATCATGAAATGCTTTGAGAGACTAGTCCTTCAGCAAATCAAGGATTACCTCCCCCCAGAATTCGACCCCCACCAGTTTGAATACCGTGCAAACAGATCCACAGAAGACGCCATCGCCATAGCCCTCCACTCTATGCTGAGTCACCTAGAAAAGCGGCAAAGCTACGTCCGAATGCTCTTTGTGGACTACAGCTCAGCCTTTAATACAATCATCCCACACATCCTCATCACCAAACTGGTTACTCTTGGCCTCCCCCCTTTCAAATGTGCCTGGATAAAGGACTTTCTCACAAACCAGCCCCAGACTGTAAGACTCAGCACTCATCTCTCATCCATTCGCACACTGAGCACCGGCTCCCCACAGGGTTGTGTGCTGAGCCCCCTCCTGTATTCTCTCTACACCCACGACTGCAGTTCGACCCACAACAACAATCTCATCATGAAGTTTGCTGATGACACCATGGTAGTCAGACTCATCTCAAAGGGAGACGAGGCAGACTACAGAGAGGAAGTCCTGAAGTTGGCAGTCGGCTGCCCTCTCCCCTCCCTGATGGACATTTATTCCTCCCACTGCCTCAGCAGAGCAGTAAACATCATCAAGGATAGTTCCCACCTCTCCTCCATACCTTCTTCATCTCCTCCATACCTGCTTCATGCCCTGGGGGACGGGGCTATGGCTCCCCACACTCCCTAGCAGATCGTTACATGGAGAAACCTTTGGAATACAAGCATGCTGATCCACACAGGTGTACACACGGGTGTTCACAGACGCGGACTACACCTTTCTTGGCTGCTGCCTAAAGAACTTTGTGCACTGTCTATCTTGCATGCTGCACAATAGCATTTAATATTTAGTATCTACTGTTATCTACTGCTAGCTAGTTGATTGTGATGGTGCTGTATTCATTATGTTGCTCTTTTTTTGTTTGCTTTCTCTTCTGTTTTTTTTCTCCATACAAGTGATCCAGGTGTTTTGTTTTTTCTTTCTTTCCATTTCTCACCGTCTCTTCTCCCCTCTGTTTTTCTTTCTCTCCCTCTCTTTCTTTCATTCTTTCTCCCCGTCCTATCCCCCAGTCATGTCTGTCCTGTTTGTAGCAACCGAAAATAAAATAAATACATAATTATAATAAAGGTCAATCAAATGGACCAATATGGCAAGGCCATGATGATCCACTTGGTAAAATAAATCCGCTTGGCATCTTTCTTGGCCTTAAGACAACAATTCTGATGGCTAAAGATCCAAACAGGACAACAAAAAGGATAGTTCCCACCCTGGTTTCAACATGTTCAGCCTGCTTCCCTCAGGGAAGCACTACAGGTGCATCAGCAAAAAAAAACCACAGACTGAAAAACAGTTTCTTCCCAAAGGCCATAACCACCCTGAACTCACACATGCATCGATAACACAGCCCCCAACCCACCCCACCCCACAATTTTTCCCATTTCCTCTATGAACAACCACTGTGCAATAACAAATTCTATGTGTAATAACCCAACTGTATATACATAACACTATTTATTACATATTAGTTTTAAAAAGTGGTTTGTATATTTGTACATTTTATATATTTTTCTCTGTTAATACTGTTCATATGTATATAGTGCAGCAGAACTGTGCCCCCTTGCATGTTTGCACTGAGTAGGAGATGCTCTGTATCTCCTTGTACAACTGTATAGTAACAATAAAGACATTCTGTCACAGTCCTGGGTCGGTGACCCAGTGTTTTTGTACTTTTACTTTTGATACTTTTATGCAAGTATGGAACATTTTGTGTTTCAGAATTTAATTGTGTACGAAAGTTATCTTCAAGATTTTTGCATTAAATGTGACTTCTCACCTAAATAGCGTTTAAAAGTTCACAAATCACCAAACAACATTTAGAAAGTCCATATATTAATATTTTAATATTTCAATGCAATTCAGTTTTATTTATATAGCGCCAAATCACAACAACAGTCACCTCAAGACACTTCATATTGTAAGGTATTTGTGCCCATTATTTTACAAGTAAGTGTATTCACAGTTCACAAGGCTCTAACCAGCTGTGTTAATCTTCCTGAATATCTTAAACATCTTACTTTTAATTTCCTTTGTCCTGAGAAAATACACAAAAGGATTTACAAGAGATGGACCGAGGATGGTGCCAATCAATAAACCCTGGCGTTCTTCAAGAGTTAATACCACACCAAACCTGGTCAAGATAACAATGATAAACTGTGGACAGTATAAACATGATACACAAATCAGGTGACTCACAAGAGTGCTTCCCATTTTCTTTTTGTCATTATTTGATAATATTTTTTTCACAAAAAATAAGATCCCACAATATGAAAGACAAATGAAAGTGAATGTGAAAAATGACACAAAAAATGATATAATGGCAACTTGGTTGAAATATTTCTCTGGGTTAACACAAGTGGTTCGCATAACTGCAGCATAGTCACAGAAAGTGTACCTAAGCCTTGAATTGCAGTGAGGGAGCGGTGTAGCTGTTACAAGTGTAAAAAGCACCAAACTACAGGCAACAATCCACAGAATGTATGTAAATACTACTGTACGTGTAATTGTTAAATAACTATGATACTGAAGAGGATAGATTATAGCAATTAATCGATCAAATGCCATAATTGTTAAAGAAAACATCTCCATTGTTGCTCCCACCTGGTAAACATACATTTGAATTATACACTCCACGTATGATATGGTATTAACACCAGCAAGTAGAACCCCGATCATTGTTGGAGTGGAACTAGAGGTATAAAGTATGTCAACAACAGCAAGATTGCAAATCAGAAGATACATTGGTTTGTGTAACTGCTTGTCAGAAACAATGAAGATGATATTGACCAAACTTGCAAAAACAGCTAATAAATAGGTTATCAGCATAACCACACCAACTGCTACAGGCCTTTTGACTGTGTCAAAACCACCTATAATAAAATAAGTTAGTTTGATTGAAGCATTCTGTAAAGACATATTTAACAAAAATAATTAAATTACAAAAGGTTTCAAGATGTAGTTGAAGAAGTAAAAATATGCTGAAAATCGTTAACAGTGATAAACAGTTGTAAAAAACAAAACAAAACTGTTATAAGCCTTCTAAACCCAAACAGGTTTGGGTTAACTACACAACAGTGCTTTCACGTTTTAAGTCTCACAACAACAGGAAGTCTTAACTTGGCAGCTCCCTCATCCAATCACGCTGGATATCAAGTCTCTGTGTTTACATATCACCAGAGACTGCAGATTACATGATGTATGATGTCACCCCCACCCTCCAAAACCAATGATAGATGAGGATAGATTGGAAATCATCAGTTTTAAATTCCACTTCAAATGCTAGAACTCCTATGTAAAAAAAGAACCCCAACAACAAACAAATGAAAAAAGGAAATAAAAACAAACAACCATTTAGTGTATTCCAATATTATATCATAATCTGGACAGACTTTATGAAGAACAGAATAATTTTTGGAGCAATTTTAAGCATAAAATGCATATTGATTAAATAAAACATATGCAGGCCTTTTACTTAGGAGATGCAGCCTATTATGCGTAAATAAAGCAGATAAAGGCATTGGTATAGCACTCTTCTACTACAGCACTTAAAGACTTTTTGACAATTATAAATAAACTGGTCTATCTCTTGAAGCGGTTCTGAGCCACAATTTAACATTTGAACTGGTATTTGTGTAGAAATGTATAAATGTGTTGTGGATAATTTTATGCATCACACAATACTTTTTTTTAGAAATAATGTTAGTATTTTCATCTAATTAAATTTAAAAAATCATTTAAGTTAAAATATAGATAAAATATACAACTATACAAATAGATAGAGTTAATCTTTTGTCCAAATAAACTTTCTTAGAAAAAAAGACACAACTTTCACTGTGTTACTTCTTAAGTTTGCTCATTAGTGTCATGAACCGAAGTTCCGTGCGCAAGCTGGACCCAGAAGCAGAACACACACACCAGGGTAGGGGAGAATAAAGAAACCAAATTTTATTATAACTAAAGGTGTCCCGTGAGGGTAGCCGGAAAAAACAACGTGTGGAACCAGAAAAAACCGAAGGACTGGGGAGGTGAGTCGCGCAGGGAACGCCGAGAGCGGGGCTGTGGGAGGCTGCAAAAAAAAAAGGAGAAACAGATTACTCGGGTGCAGAAAAATGGCAGCATACGAGGGAAGGGGGAGTATGCGTCTTACGGTGATAGCCGGGCAGAGTGAACCAGAGGGGGGGCTCCAAAAGGGGTCGAGGCGGCGGGGCTGATCGTGATCCAAATCTCAGGCGGGCAGGTGGACAGGCAGGTGGCTCAAAAACGCCGAGTTGTGATCTGAGTACACAGGGCAAAACAGTGTTAGTTCAGATGGATAATTCTTTCATAAGGGCTTTCCCGCAGGTGTACGTTACCGCTGAGAGACGACTACGGACTGGCGAGGAGCAGCAGGTAGGGCAGGATTAAATAGTTCACCTGGTGATCGCCTGGGATGGGATGCAGGTGTGGGGTTAGCAGCCACGCCCGTGAGCGTGGGCATCCCATCAGCACCCCGGACGCCGGGCCGCGGACCATGACAATTAGGTTAATGACTTCTTTGTTTACAAAGGGCTGATAGGAAAGATGTGTCATACTCACTTGAGTGAATTATAATCAGCACCTAGCTCCAGTAATGAACAGAGATGGGCAGTAACGCATTACTTGTAACGTGTTACTATAATCTGATTACTTTTTTCAAGTAACGAGGAAAGTAAGGGATTACCATTGGGAAATTCACAGACAAACTTGCGGATTCTTCCACTGACCGCTGCGGCACATCTGCACCAGGGCAAACATCCGCCTGCTATACAGGTAAAAATAGAGCAACAGGACCGCTGAGTCTTTGATTTTATTTATTTTCTGCTTGTTTTACTTGCATTTATTTGAAAGACTGAGTGTAAACACAAAAAAATTTTATTTTATGTGCTGGAATGTGCAGAAAATAGGTTTAAATGTTAAACAAATTTCTTCCAGTCAGAGAATGTTGCATATAATTAAATTTTTGCTTGATGCATAAAGTTAAAAGATTAAAACTAATAAAACAAGTTTTAAAAAGAGACTTTTCCATTTGATTACATTTTGTATGATGGATTATGCAGAAAAAGTAGAATTGGGCTGAAAGATCTATTGCTTTATTACCTATTCAGGTTGTAAATCGTGTTTTTAAAAAGTAACTAAGTAACTAATAATTATTACTTTTGAAAATAAGTAATCAGTAAAGTAATGGGATTACTTTTTTGGGAAGTAATCAGTAATTAGTTACTGATTAGCTATTTTATACAGTAACGGAATACATGTACCGCCGTTACGTATTTAAAATACAACATATGAGTAACTGTATTCCGTTACAGTTACCGTTTAAAAAGGTGGTATTCAGAATACAGTTACTTTGTGAAATAAATGGATTACACTGCGGTACTTTCCTGTTTCATATTGTCGCGGGTCAGGACTGTTTGGGTTTTGTTTGACAGCTACGTTCTGTTGTTCCAGGCGGCAGCGTTATGGTTGCCATGGTTACAGGGCGACGCTCTCTCTCTCTCTCTGCGACTGTGTGTTTCCTGGGTGAGAGAGCGCCTTTTCGTTGTTGTTGTTGTTGTGCTAAGCTAACAGGCAGAATGCTACAAGCATAGCTCTAAAGAATGTAGCATCATGGGCAGTGTAGTCCGTGTTGCAGGGAGAATGGACTGCCATACACGTTATGGGTCTGTGAGCGCGAGGAGGGAGAAAAAGGGGAGTGGAAAGGTACGAGTTGTCATCGAGCAAAAACGGGAGCTGGAAGTATCCCCCCCCCCCCTTTCTCACTGTCCCTCTCCCCTTCTGTTTTTCCTTTCCTTCCTCATCCCTCACTCATGTCTGTCCCGTCTGTAACATCTGAAAATAAAATATAATAAATAATAAAAACAAAGATCGATCAAATGGACCAATACGGCAATGCCACGATGATCCATTTGGCAAAGTAAATCCATTGGGTATCCTTGTTGGTCTTCAGACAACAATTCTGATGGCTAAAGAACCAAATGGGACAGGCAGAAAAAAAAAAAAAAAAAAAAAAAAAAAGAGTAACGTAATGGAATACGTTACAGAATACATTTTGGGGCATGTATTCTGTATTCTGTAATGGAATACATTTTAAAAGTAACCTTCCCAACACTATTGATTAGTTTTTTCAAGTAAATTGACCAACACTGCTCAGGACTGACTTAGCCCCTCCCTCCTGGCTCACAGCTTCTTCTTCTTGGTTGGCAACCAATGTCAAGGCGCATTACTGCCCCCTGGCTCACAGCTCAGTTGACATTTAGATGAGAAAACATATATTTGACACATTTAAGGAAAATACTAATAAAATAAAAATGAAAAGAAATAAATGTTCTCTTTAGAATTTTTTTTGCTCTTTTTTGCTCTATAAAATAGTTATTTTCTTTTACAATCACTCATTTTAGCAGTAAGATATACATGACAAGAGAAACAAATTAAGTCTGAGTGAAAATGTACATTTTTGCACTCTCTGGTCAACTGACTCAATGACTCAAACAACCTGATTCACTCTGGTGAGTGACTCATTAAAACTCGATTCAGTAAAAAGAATCGAATTTGCCATCACTACCTGCCTGGTTAGTTTCATGTACATTCCAAGTTTAGTTAGTTTTGTATTTCCTGATGTTCAGCAATAAAGCTGCCTTTTGAATTTATATTCTCCTCTGTGAGTCTGTGTTTGGGTCCTCTCCTGCCTACTTCACATGGCTAGCACATGACAGAAAGGGCGTTAAGAATAGTGATGTTGACGAATGCTCTTAGGCTACGTTCACACTGCAGGCGAAAGCGCATCAAATCCGATTTTTTTGACCCTATGCGACCCATATCCGATCATGGTATGACAGTGTGAACGGCACAAATCCGATATTTTCAAATCCGATCTGGGTCACTTTCGTATGTGGTACTGAATCCGATACATATCCGATGTTTTAGAAAGCGACTGCTGTTTGAACGGTCATGTCGCATTAAATCCGTCTTTTACGTCACTGACACAAGACAGACGCCAATTATCAGCTCCGGAGAAGCGCCCGAGAAGACATCGCGAACGCTTCCTGGCCATCCAGTGTAGATGTTAGTGAAACTGTTGGGAAGACAACGTTGGAGAAACGTGAACATTTTATTTGTACTGTATAATCTGCAGATTCTGACAGAAATCTGCAACTATCCTTTGAAGCACCGCTCCTCTCTAAAACAGCAATAAGGATAATTATTAGGTTATTTACATTATTATGTAAATAACAAAATAACTTAAAGCAAAAATTGGGAAACGTAAAGTCCGAAGTCTTTATATTAAGGGCCATCAGTCAAACAATATTGTTTGCTCTGGGTCTAAACAGAGCGCGTTGTGTGTGACGTCTTCTTTTGCGCATGCGGGCCGCTTTGAGCGTTCACACTAGAGCGCGTTTGCTGTCGCATTTTATTTGTAGTGTGAACAAGCAGACAAAAAAATCGGATTTGATCAAAAAATCGGAATTGAGCATTAAGACCTGCAGTGTGAACGTAGCCTTTGAGCCGGATCTTCGAAGTGAAAGACGCGAACCGGCTCCTTATTGGGAGCCGTTTTTTTTTTTTCTTTCTCTCACCCTCTCTCTCGCACTTTTTTTCCGCTTCACTCCGCACGCGAGCCTTGTGCTTTGCGCTGGGGGAGGGGGTAGTTACACTCGCAGTAGCACAGGAACAGAGCGGAGGAGAGACAGAGAAAGAGAGCCAGGGACAACAACGTCACATTAGAAAGGTATAGTAATCATCCACAACTATTTTCAGTTGCAGATGATAAAGGATTCAGAAAGTTTATTCATGCAGGTCCATATGACAGAGAATATGCATGTTCTTTTTGTTTTCATATTTTAATTTATATTTAATTGTGTTGTGGTTTGCAGTGTTTTGTGTTGTTTCACTTTAAATTTGTTTAAGTGAATAGTTGGTTTTTGTATTATACGATTTATTTATTACATTTTATGTGGAGTGAATAAATAAAAGTATGTTTGTGTATAAATACACAAACAATACACTATGCTTTCAATTGTGTAATTTAAGTGATCTAGGTAGCTCTGTTTTGGAAGTTCAGTTAACGCTAGAAATGTGTTTTGGAGTTTGTATGTGCTTTGTCTCTAGGGGCCACCGCATATATTTATATATAAACATATATAAATAAAACCACTTTTTTTTACATTAGTAATTCCTTTTGTGCATAATTTTATATTATTGTTAATAATAAATTAATTAAAGCAACAAAACAACCTGAAAAGCCGGTTCGGAGCCAAAAGAGCCGGTTCTCTAAAAAGAGCCGGAAACATCACTAAGTAAGTAAGTAAAATTTTATTTATATAGCACATTTCTAGATAAGAGATCACAAAGTGCTTTACAAGGTATAGACACAGATTAAAAAGACGAAGTACAGTCAAAAGTTAACAAAATGCAATTTTAAAAAGATGTGTTTTTAGCTGTTTTTTAAAAGTAATCAGTGAATCAGCAGATCTTAAGTTCTGAGGAAGAGAATTCCACAGTCTGGCGGCCACAGTAGCAAAAGCTCGATCACCCCTAGTTTTCAGTCTCGTATACTTAATAACAAGTAGGCCCTGACCACAAGACCTCAGAGACCTACTAGGGGCATAGGGCTGTAAGAGTTCAATGATGTATGATGGTGCTTGTTCTTGAAGAGCCTTAAATGTGAGAACCAGAATCTTAAAGTGGACTCTGAATTCGACAGGGAGCCAGTGTAACTGTATAAGCAGCGGTGTTATATGTGAGTATTTCGATGTTTTCGTCAGAAGCCTTGCTGCAGCATTTTGGACAGTCTGCAGACGCTCCAGGGAACTCTTGTTTAGACATGTAAACAGTGAATTGCAATAGTCCAGTCGTGATGAAATAAAAGCATGAATAACAATCTCCAGTTCAGTATGAGCTATTATGGGGCTCAATTTAGAAATATTTCTTAAATGATAAAAGCAAGACCGAACCAGAGATTTGACGTGAGTATCCAATGTAAGAGCAGGATCGAAGGTTATCCCTAGGTTCCTGATAGATGGTTTCACAAACGTTGAAAGGGGACCAAGAGCATTCATTATGCTGGGTACATGTCTGTCTGGAGCACATAACAGGACTTCAGTTTTATTTTCATTTAGTTGGAGGAAATTGTCGGCCATCCAACCTTTGATGGTTTCCAAACACACATTTAAAATCCGCAGTTTAGAAGCATCTTCAGGTTTAAAAGATATATATAGTTGGATGTCGTCTGCGTAGCAGTGGTAACAAATATCCTCAAAAGGGCTCAAAATATGCTGGAGAGGAAGTAAATAAATTAAAAACAATAATGGCCCCAGCACAGAGCCTTGTGGCACACCAAAGGACAGGGACGTAGAAGATGACCTGTACTTAGAAACTGCCACAGAAGAGTATCGTTCACAGAGATACGAGGAGAACCACTCTAAGGCAGACCCAGATACACCGACCCAGTATTTCAGCCTATCAAGCAAAATATAATGGTCAACGGTGTCAAAGGCCGACGTGAGATCCAACATTAAAAGAACAGAACACTT